TTTTTAGTAAAAATAAGATATTTTAAATTTAAATTACATGATATATAAATAAAACAAATTAAAAAATAATAAATTATTACCTTTTATTATATAATTTAAGATAAAAAAAGTTAAATTAATTTACATATTAATAATTTTATATATTATAATTAATTATTTATGAAATAGTAAAATTCATGTAATTTTTAATACCTTTAATACCTGGCCTTAATTTTTTTTTAAACAGTTATAATTTAGAGATAAGTAGAAAAAAAATATTTATACAGTAATATTATAATTCAAATTTTTTATATTAATTAAAATATTAAATACATCAACCAACTAACAAACCTAAAAAGGTTGGCGCAGTACGTGGCCTTAATTAATACTTACTGCCGTGGGGCAGATACAAAAACCTTTCTTTTTTTCGCAAGAGCTTATAAGTATTTGTCTGACATTGAAGTAATAAATACTAATGGTACTGAATTACTCCCTCTGATAAATAATAGGTACTTCAAAAAAACGGTACCCAATCATGACAACCGTGACAAGAATTCATTATCCAAAAATTATTTTTTTAACATTTATTTATTGGTTAACTTGTTAAGTATATAATTAATATATGTTTTAATTTTTTTTTTTTTTGAGCAGGTTTTGAATGGGGTTGGAGATGCATTTATTAAGGTGATTAATGTTATTAGGTGGAAAAGTCAATTGCAACATATGTTTTAATTATTAAATCATAAGAAAGGTAAAAAAAATTAATATTAATTTTAATATTAATGTTATTGGTATTAATTTAATTAGTTTATTTATTAAAACTAAAATTAAAATTTATTTTTATATAATTTAATAATTAAAAAATATATTAATTATACTTTTAATTTATACTCTTAAAATATTCATTAAAAAACTAATAAGAGAAATTATGGTTGCCCATACTCATATATGTTAGAAATACACAATGTATGTAAGCCTTTTAAGTAAGGTATCATGCCATGTCTTAAAGCAATATTAACATTAGATGAAGATATCTTTGAGGATAATTAAATAACTTACGCCTTCTTATTATTAATATTGAAATAAATTATCTTCTTAATATACATATTCCTACAACACAATGGGTGCTGTTGCCCCTTTCTTCTTATTTTGAGGAATGGCTACTCCTCCTTTTTTTTATCTATTTCATAATTTGTCATTTGTTTATTTTAAATCGTACAATAAAAAATAAATATTTTTTAATCTTTTTACTCACTCTACTTAGATAAAATTATTATTGAGTTATTTAAGTAATTAAAATTTATAATTTAATTTTTTATTCATCAACTTTTAAAATAATTTAATAGTCTTAACATCAATTTTTTATGTATAATAATTAAAAATTGAACTACATTTGTATCTCAAAAACACATACAACTTCATGATCATTAACTCAGTGAAGAAATGAAAGAGTTATCAAGTACCACTAAATGTTTCTTTTAATAAAAAAATAAAAGTATGAAGTATTTAAGTTATTATTTTATTCTAAAACAATTCCATAATTTAGGAAACCAACCCCATTGAAAGTGAAAGAATTGGAAAAGCTCTTGATTACCGTAAACGTGTCTCCGATCTGATGAACATGGGCGGTTGTGATGGGTTGACAAAAGAGCCCACCCAATACTTTTGGTGATGGAAGACCGTAACAGACAATTATATCTTCCGTAACCAGTACCTAAGAATGATTTAATGGATAAAAATTAAAAATTAAAAATTAAAATTTTCAATTTCAAATATTAAATTAGGTAAAAAGAGATTTAGAGGAAA